TGGGGGCTCGTAAGTGGCTTTTTTTTACTCCCAATCTGCAAAACCAGGGAGGCCCAGCACAGACAGCCTGGGCCAGGATGCTCAGCAGACACCAGGACAAGTGCATCCTCCCCGTTCTGGGCAAACCCACCCCAGCTGTCTCGCCTTGTTCAAGGGCAAAACAGGTGAGCAGAGCCTGGCGCAGGCTTTGGCACCTTGGGGTTTGTCCCACCTCAGCTGCCTCTGGTGAGTCTCCCAGGGGTCCAGAGGAGACTGAACACAGTCTGAATCTGGGGTCAGGGCCTGTGTGCTTGGAAGCTCAGCTGTTCCTGCAAACAGCCAGCCCTGCTGGGCAGGGACAGCCCTGCCAGGAGCAACAGGGCTAGGAGACCGAGAAGAGCCAAAACTCCTCACCCAGGGGATCTCTTTGCATGCCCAGCACACACTGAGCCTCTCAATGGGAGCATTTTTCCCCTGACTCATTCATACTTGCCCAGCTGTTGCCTCTGCAACAAGCACACTGAACTTTGCTTCTCCATCTCCACACCTACAGGTCCATTTTCAGTGGGAGCACAAAGAGTTTGCCTCATTCTGACTGGGGCGGGAAAAAATCTGACTTAAAAAGAATCATCTTGTTTCTGTGCTCTGGGGGAAAGGCAGGCCACGACCAGGGAAAACATCCAAGCAAATTAGGGGTCAGCCCCTGCCAGCGAAAAGTAACACTGTCCCTTTATCATCTCACGTCACACACTGTGTAAGGACAAACCTGCACAAGCAGAGATATCATCTGGGCCCGCGAGCAGAGAGGAACATCCCAAGCATGTAAATCAAGGTCCTATAGACGCGGCTTACAGCTCGAGACGATGCCTCTCCCCGCGGGGAGCGCGGGCTGCGCTCGGGAAAGCTGCGCTGGTGCTGGAGTGCCATCTGCTGCCCTGCCCCGCTCCCAGCCCCGCTCCCAGCCCCAGCAGCCGGGCTGGAGAGCTCCCGAGGAGGGACAGGGCAGCCAGGAAAACCCCACGCCAACCTTCCTCCTCTCTGCCCCTTCCCAGGGCCGGGCAGCAGCACCACTTGGTGCCACTGTCCCTCACTTTGCTGGGGCAGCACAGCCACGTCCTACCCAGACAGCAGGGCACGGCCGAGGGATCAGAGCTAGGCTTGGTAAGGCAGACAAACAGCTCTTTTCTGTGCCAACAAAACAACATTTCCAGGGCTGAACTGTCTCCTGAGGCAGGGCTGGGCTCCCCAGCATCCCCCTGAGCATCCCTCTGCGCCAGGGACAGGGAGGCTGGGGAGGACAGGAGGCAGCAGGACACAGCAGAGAATAGTGGGACAGCTAGGGATGTCTCTGCACCAGGGACAGGGAGGCTGGGGAGGACAGGAGGCAGCAGGACACAGCAGGACAGTGGGACAGCTAGGGATGTCTCTGCACCAGGCAGAGCTTGGCAGGGCAATGTGACAGCACCAAGAGATGCTCGTACTGCTACAAATGAGAGCATCACTTGAGAGGGTCAGAGAAGTGCTTCAGGTGCTCTTGGAGAGCGACAGACACTCTAGACCCAAACAACACACAGGAGAGAAACCCAGAGCCACACATTACCTTGCAAGTGCTGTTATCCAGAAATGAGGGCACCTCACTTGGAACAGCATGAAATGTCTCCTCAGTGTTCTTGAGTCCAAACTGCAGTTTGGATACAAAAAAGAATGACATTCCCCCAGGCCACACAGAGATTTGCAGCTGGGACATGAAGGGCACAAAGCAATGAGACCCTTTGATCCCATCTGCTCTCTCCCAGGAAAGGTCGAAACCTCAGTGCAGTCACAGCTACAGCACAACTCCTGTCACCTCCTCCCACCCTCCACGAGGACAGAAAACGTCATCAGAAATATCCAACACTGCTTTCAGGCACCAAAACTCACCTGGGCATGTGCAGCAGTCTTGATTCAGCAAAAGGAGGAAAATTTCCAGCACATGCTCATCTCAGCAAAGGCTCTACTGGGCTAGGAAGGGTCCAGGGCTGAGTGCCAGGAGGATATCTGACTCCCACCCCCTCCCACCCATGGAGCTAAACATCCCTCAGCTGCTTCAGCCTGGGCAGACACAGGTAACAGGAGAGGAGTCCACAGACTCACTGGCAGTGTGGACAAGCAGAGCAAGGGCCATTACTCACCTCCCTGTGCTATCAGGATGACTGATGAGCCAGGGAGGCTTTCAGGCAATTTAGAAAACAAACAGGAAGCACTTTTTCCACTCACAGGTAATTAAGTTGTGGGACACACTGCCACAGGGTGCCGTGAAGGTCAGAAGGACAAACTTACACCGACTCACAGGCCTCACACCAACTCGGGGGTTTCTCTGTGAAGCACAGGCTCAGCACTGGGACCACGAGGGTGTCAGGGCAAAACTGCTCCAACAGCTCCCCTGGCAAAGGGCCTCAAGTGTCTCCTCTGCTCCACTGCCCAATGCAGCCAGAATTTCTCCTTTGCATTGCTGGGGAGGGAAGGAGAGAGAAAGCAGAGGTGACTGAAGGCAAGGCACAGCCCCTGAGGCAAGGAGCTAAATGCAAGACAAAGTTCTGTAACTCCTGCTCAGCCAAGTTCCCAGGGACAGCACCGAGGCAGGACCTGTGTGATGCAGCAGAACCAAAGCAAAAATACAACTTGCTGATATTTTCTTTTTAGGAAAAACCCAGTGCCAGTGAAGGCCCCAGCAGGGACTCCCTGAGCCAGGCTCCCAGCCACACACAGGGCTGTGGGAGGTGAGGAGCTGAGCTGCTCCACACACCAGTGGAGCTGGGGCTCCACTGCTCTCCATCTGCTCCAAAAACTCTTCATCCTCCCCTGCTCCCTCACTGAGCAGCCTTGGAGTCAACATGCCAAAGGGAAATCAGCTCTGGGCTCTGCCAAAGGACCAGCCCTTGGTGCTCCAGAGGAAGGTGCCACTTGCACAGGGATGAGCTCCTGCTCACCTGCCCAGGGCAGGAGGACAAGGGGCAGTGGCCACAGTAAAGAGACCTCATGGGAAGCACCTCATCCATGGACAGAGCCCAGAGAAGGATCTGTGTTCCAGGGCAGAGAGCTCTGCAGTGTGCTGTGCAGCCCGTGGAAGCTCTCCAGGCAGGAGTTATAAATTAGGCATCTCCAGAGACCTCATTCATTTTACCCGTAATAAAATTACCACTTTCCGAAGGGAAACCCCTTTGAAGGGTTTCAGTCAAACCACCCCGTGGGACAGCTCAGCTCAATGCATGTAAGCTCAGCCCCAGGCTGAGCCAAGGATTACAGAGGCCCTGGGGCTGCCAAGGGATTTAGGAGCAGCACAACCCAGTGCAAACCCAGGGCAGCCTTGGCCCGAGGCCTGACAGGGCACCAAGCACTGCTGCTCATCTCCAAAAAGGAGATGCTAACACAGCCCACTTGTTTCAACCTCCCTGACTCTTATTCGACCTATGCCTTTTTCACAGCTCTTTTCCAAGCAGTCCATATCTGACTCCCCCCTCATCTCATCAGCAAATCCGTTTGCTTTGCCCATAATGCAATATCCCCCAAGCCTAAAATAACCCACACACTCCCTATTAATGTGTCTGTGCAGGCTGAGTTTTGACTTTAAGGAAAGCAGCACAGCCTGTTACTTGCCAACACCTCCTCAGTTCAGTTCATCTCACCCTACAATGTTCTATTTTACTACAGCTTCAAAATCAGGCAGCTCACAACAAACTGGGAACAGGATGTTCTTCCATACTGCAGAGCCAGAGGAAAACAAGGCACACAGAGCTGACACTGGGAGAGCTTCCCACACCAGCTGCAGATTCCCAACTTTGACACCCCTCGAAGCAAGGGAAAACACCAACACTGAGACAAGTCAACCTCTGTGGTGAGCAGTAAGCAGCGACACATCCATCCCATGGTGCAGACCAAGGAGTCCAGGGCTGCTCTAACAGAGTCAGGAAATGAAGGCTCTTCAGTCATCACAGTTTAATTAAGACAGCTTAAAATTCGAGCTTTAATTGATATGGAAAGAAACATTCTGGAAGGATATAAGTTTTTTTTTTATAGATTTAAGTTACCAAATTTAGTTTTCATTGGATGTTACTGCAAACATGAACATTAAATCAGAAGCCCTGAATAGGAGAGAACTCCACGAAAGGATCTAACCATTCCATATCAGAGGGCACTGGACCAAAGGATTGTGTAGGCAACTGTCCAAACGTGTGATGCACTGGTGTTAGCTCACAGGATGTAAGCACATCCTGAATCACCTGAAACAACTCCTGAAGACTGACCACACCACCAGCTTTCTGGCACCTGCTCTGCCAGCAGTAAATACCAGCTCAACCCTTATCTAAAATGATACACAGAGGGCACGTCTTTAAGAGCATTAAGTCAGCTTAAATTACTTGAGCAAAATTTTAAATATATAATAGAAATCTAAAAAGGAGCAACAAAAAAAAATTGAGAGAGAGAACACCACTGCAAGAGTAATGCCAACTTATTACTTTTTTTTTTTTTTAACATGTCTGTACAGCAACATAGCAAAGGATGCAGCGATCACAATTCCAACCAGACAGAACCTAAGGGGACACTAATCCTGGTACAGCAGAGCTGAAACACTCCCAATGGTTGGATGCTCCAAATAATTTGGCTACCCTAATGCACTTCAAACCAGTTCTACCTACATAGGACATTTTGGTGTGAAAAAGTTTCTGTAAAGTTCCCTTTGTTTCCAGTGTTTTTTTTTCTTGTACAAAATATTACAATGATTTTTTTTATATATATTTACAGACTTGCACAGCTAGAAAAATATAAACTACAATTGGGCTTGGCAAGCAGTTCTTTTCTTTAAATACATGACATTTCAGAGCAAAATCTGTAGTGGTAACATATCCTGCAGCCCAAGCCCCTGCAAGGAGAAGCTTTCTTGAGCAGGTCAAGCCTAAAATCCATGATTGCAGTGAGACATGTGCCACGGTAAGTGCGACCAACGCGACTCATCCACCTCCCGGCGCGAGGAGGACACAAGATGAATGCTGTTTGTGCAGGTTAGTGGCACAAGATAGAAAAATCCATAACTGGACATTAAATTCCTTAATAACATTCATTCATTTCAAAGGCAGAGCCTGTTAAAAAAAGGACAAGTGATGGAACTTTTGGAACAAGAGACACAAGTTCCTGGGGCATGACACAGCTGGGACCAAACCACAGTTACTGTCTCAGGGGCCTTTGCTTCCAGCCAACCCCAAGGGGTTAAGGAGTTTTTCATTCAACTTTTGAGCAGAGGCCAGGGAGGATTTTTTGCTTTAAAGCTACAGTATCTGTCATTATGGCTTTGGACACCCCTGTCAGATGAGGTATCTGTCCTAGCAAAATGGTAACAGTTGAGCAAAACACGTTTCAATGGACCACAGGACTCCACCAGCAGCTGCAAATGTTTCTTCTCAGGGGAAGTTGCCAAACCAAATTGTAACAGTGCAAAATAAGACTTTGTCTTTTAGTTTTCTCTCTGCAGAAAGAGTTGTCAAGGCATCTAGGACGTTGCTAGTACTCAAGCCACCGAGCAAACCCTCTTTCCACCAGAGTTCTGTTTATTGACACCACCTAAATGGAGGGGGAAAAAAGAGTGGGTGAGTGAACAAACCCCAGCAAGTTCCTGATCAACAATAAAGAGTTTATGGCCATGCAGACTGACAGAAGTGAACAAATAGGTGTGTCAACACACTCACCTCATCTCCCACCAATTTCCAGAGCTGTATCAGGGGCAGCCCCGTGGCACTGTCATAATTTGTGACCTGAAAACACAGCAAAACATGAGTGTGCAGCAATTCTGGTCCCAAGTCACTTACATGGACAAGCTACAGCCACTACTGGAAACACTTCAGGGGAGGTGAGCAGCTCAGGCCTGGGAGCTGCCTGCACAAGCCTCTGGGACATCTCAAAGTCCCACTGGTGCCTCTGGCCAGCCGAGGCTGGGAAAGCACTGCAGAGCCAGAGGGACTCTGGACCCACGGGACACCAAGCCCCACCGTGCTCTGTAAACCCCCTCAGATGTCCTTCCTCCCTGCCCACATCAGAAACGAGGGAATACTCAGCCCTTGCCAGGCACACCATCCCCAGCAGAGCAGCTGGAAGTTTTCAGCCCCAGGATTTCACAAGGAGCCCTGCCCAGGCAGGCTCTGCCCCGGGGTTTATTGTAACACAGACAGCGTGCAGGGCAGAGGACACCAGCACCAAGACTCCTCCAGACAGTGCTCTGGTACCTGTGCCACGAGGACTGCACCTCTGGTCATCTCACTGACAACAGCGTCAGCCTCCGGCGAGAAGTGATCCTCGTCTGCGGACAGAGCAGAGCAGGAGAAAGCAAATGAGATCTTCCCAGGCTTTAAAGGCCAGGAGGGACTGCGAGGCTAATCCTGTCTGGCCTCCTACACATGCTGGGCCAGAGAGCCCTCAGCCCTGGCTGGCAGCTCTGAAGCCTTTGGTCACTACTCGGTGTGTGGCTGTGCTGCAGGGAAAGGATCAAGAGCTTCTGACACCACCAGCTATGATAGTGTGGACAGGAGTGGATGATGAATTGGGAGGCTTTAAAGCCAGCAAAGCACATTGCTGCAGTACCTCGGAGCTGCCGTTAGTGTTTTGATCCTTAATAAACTAAGCTCGGGTCCCTGTGGACTTTACTGACCCTGCACAGAGGGCAGCACTGAAGTGTTGGCAGCACAGCCTGGCTGGGACCTGAGCGCAGCCAAACACTCTCCAAGCACCAGCAGCTCAAATCCTCAGCCTGCACCGCCTGCACGGGGGTTCCTGCTAACTCCACACCCGGAACACAGCGGAAAACCCTTGTCCCAGGCAACACAGGTACAGTCTGCATTGCAGACCTGACAGAAGTGGTTTCATTTTGGAGGGAAGCAGCTTATTTCCCACCAAATTGCCACCCCGTCCCACCCAGAAGTGCAGCTGTCACACACCAGTACAGCACCCACCTCCAACACCTCTAGAAAAGACCAAAAAAAGCAAACCAAAGTGTCTCTAGGCAGTGACTGACATTCTCCTAGTGCTTGCAGGGCTGTCTTTTGAACACAGAACTATACAAATCAGCCATTTCAGGAGGGAAGTGTCAGGTATTTGTCTGCAGATTAAAAACTAAGTTTGCATGTACAGCAAATCTGTGACAGAAGAACTGGAGCAGCTACAGCTCCTGCACCTACTCCCTGCCAGTCCTGCCAGCTTGCTGCTTAGGACAGCAGCCCATTCCCTCCTCCAAACAGGACAAAGCCTGGACATTTATCATCTTTCCCCTGGACTCTGACAGGTTATGCCATGCTAGCACATTTAGAAGAATAAAATGCAATTCTTCCAATCCTTCCCCTGGGCACAGCAGAGGCTGTGCTGGCCACGGGAGGAGGTTTAGACAGAATCATGGCTTGGCCACAGCTGGCACCCATGGAAACCTGCAGGAGAAGTGCCAGCCGCACAGAGAGCTCCGTTACCTGGAAGTGGCACCACATTGTCTAGTAAAACTTCTGCTCCTTGGAAAGGTAGTGATAAAAAATCAGACCTAAAGAGAAGAGAATCAATCAGAGGCAGAACGTGGTTTTCAGTTATTGCTGCATTTGTTAAGGTGACATTGATTAATCAATTGCTCTAACAGGAATTCAGTTTTAAATTAATGACAGTCAAATATAAAAAAATGGGGCTGTTTTCCCCCAGCAATCTAAGAGCAGCAATGAATTGCCTGATGAACATGCCAAGTTGGATCCAGCTCCAGCAAAACCCACCTCCACCACAGAGCCTGTGCTGCTTGTCTCCCACCTCTGGGACACAACCAAGTATTTCCTGGGCTTGTGTAAGGAAACCCTCATCCCACACAGCTCTCCCAGCCAGTGGGGCATTCCTAGTTCATCACTCAGCTGCACTTTGGGGCCTCCTGAAGGAATCCCTTTAGCTCAGCTTCCGTGCTGGAGTGGCAGAAGTTGCTATTTCCTCTCTCCCCATTTAAAAAAAATCCTTGCAGGAGCTTGCTGTGCTCCCAGGAACTCACACCCACTGCCAAGATAAACCTTCCCACCATTTCCCACTTCAGCTGTGGAAAAACCTGTAAGAATTCAAATCATGCAGATGCCTCTGATGAGGACTTGTGCCAGATGTTGTCTCAGGCCATGGCAGAGGAGCTACAGACCTGATCTGCCTCAGTGTGTCAACCTTCACTTTGTCATATCCTCCGTAGTCCACATATCTGAGCTCCACTTCTCCAGTCTCTTCAAAGTAGTTGATGACTTGAGCCCGGAGCCATGCCCCATCCAGGCCTGGAGCTGCACAGATAATGCCAACTGCAAAACACCCAAGCACAGACAAGAAAGGCTCAGGGTTAGTGGATTTCTAGAAATCAGCACTTCAGGCATGAGCAGTGCCACAGGTGGGTTTTACTCTCAGGTCTCTGTCTGCCACTGCCAAGCTCTCTGCCCAGGTACCCAGCTCTCTTCCAGCCCCGGGGCACCAGAAGTCTGTCTCCACAAAGGAATAAATAACCCCTTTCCATGGGACGGTCCCTCCACTTCACACCATGTGCAGACATGGTGACAGACATGGACACAATGACACCGTGGAGATCTGGGAGTAGTTGGTCAGCAGAAATACCTCAGATGCCAAGTTGATTGGAAATAACCTGAGACAGGCTTGATCTCACTCTGAATTTCAGCACGCAGCTAAGTGGCTGGGGAGGTGCTCCAGGGATAAGCAGGGTAAGGAAGAGCAGAGCAACATCTGTACTCTGGCAGCAGCATAAGGATCAAATGACAAGTGAACTGTCACATCCTCATCCAAGCCCAGCTCAGGGACAACAGGCTTCCTCACGACCCTGGAGGTTTCCCAACTGAACAAACTGTGAGTACTACTTGCCTTCTACAGGAGTTGGCAGGGTTGGGATTTCGGGTTGAGAGTAGCAGGCATACATCTGCTGGTCAAGGCTGCTCAGGACGTGGAACGTGGGGTGTGTGTGCTGCTGCAGGAACATGTGCCCTGCGTTGACCTGGTTTGCCACAACCACCTCTACACTCACTCCGTCGGGGAGGAACAGCTGCCAGGGGGAGGAAGGAAATCAACATGAGTGCTCACAGCCACCCAAGCTCCAGTCAGAGCAGAGCTGCACAGGGACTCACCCAGGCAGTCATGAGCAGGGAGTGCAGCGTCAGCGGCATCGGCGGAGGTAGGGTGTAGATGTTGGTGAGAGACAGCTCTTTGAACTTCTTGCCAATCAGGCTCAGGACTTTTTCTACTTGATGCGAGGTCCCTGGAAGACAAAAATCCCGCAGGAAGTCTGCAGCACAGCCACGCTGAGGACACTCCCACCCATCACATGGAGAAATACAACTGCCAGGAGCCTCCTGCACTACATCAACAGTGTAAGCGTTGATAGATTGGCCAAGTGACCTGATATCACACCAACACGAGCAACTCAGACTGCCAGGCCCCAGCTCCAGCAGCTTTAGCCTCCAGTATAAACCCAATGCCTGGGCAGATATTTCAGCCACAATTAACCCTTCCCAGTGGAAGCTGCATTTGCTGATACCCATCCCACAGCTCCTGCAGCAAGTCTGAAGGGATCCTGCAAAAGGATCCCAAAACTGCAGCAGCCAAAGACTTTAAAAGCATTCCCAGCTCCAGGACTGAGGGTTCACGTGTCAAGGCACAGGTGACCTGGCACACACCTCTGCTGCACCAGCACTGAGCAGAGAAGTTCTGTAAAGCACTGGGCTCACAAAGCCACTAAATCTGTTTAAATTCCTTGCCCATATAATTAAGGCTCTCAAGCTACACCTTAGACCATGAATAGAGATATTCAACTCACCTTCGATGTGACAGACTTGGGAGTCACGGAAATAAGGTAGTGTTGAGACATAGACTTTGGCACCGGACGCTTGCCTCAAGTAGCTCATAAATCTGCCCTGTTTGCCGATCAAGCGGCCAACTAATTCCTGTGTGAAAGGGACAAGAAAGCAACAGTCAGGAAGAAAAAAATATACCAAACATCACTGCTCCCTCTGGCTTGTATCACCCACATTCCCAGTTCCTGCAGCACAGGGAGAAATATAAGGTCATGCTGGACCAGTGCAGAGTTCAGCTGAGTGATGAGTCTAGGCAGATACAGAGCAGTAAGCACAGCTCATTTTAACAGATCTGCTCTCCAGACCCTCAAAGCCTCCCGAAGGCTTCCAAAGCATTGGGCTAAGGGCCTGGGTGGAAGACCATGGGGAAAAACGAGTCCAACCACCACCATTCCCGTGGGTGCAGCCCTGGCACTGCACTTGTCTATGTTTGTGCACCAGCTCTTCACTCCTGCGAGTCCTAACGGAGCTGAATGCTCCAGTCCTCTGGGATGTGCTGCTGATCTCCCTGGGATGGCACTGAGCCCATGCCAGACTGGCAGAACAGGAGGTGGATGTGGGGCAGGGCAGGATCCCCAGCAGGGCAGCAGTTACCTTTGGGACCTCGATTTCCCAGATAACAAAGTCAGACTTGCTGGATCCTCCTTCTAGCTTAGCGTTCTGACGAGCCACTGTCTTCCTCATGGCACAGCCACTGTCCACAAAGTCCACACTATTTACATCTGAACCTACAAGACAGGCACACATCAGCATTCAGAGAGCTCCCAGGACCCAGCTACGACACGTGCGTTCCAACCCCAACGGGAGGGACTGCAGCGACCCCAGGGCAGCTGGAGCCCACTGAGGGCAGGAGGGGATTGCCTCCTGCCCAAATTTATCACATGTGTGAAGAAACAAGGTGCCAGAGCTGAGCTGATTTGTTCCCAAACCATCAGCCAATACCAGAAACACTTCTCCTTGGGAAAGGGACAAAGTCAAACAGCCTCTTCCTGGTCGTATCCCAGATAGTGTCAGTGTCACACAAGGTTGGTCCTTCAGATGAGCAGGCAGGAGCATGAAGATCCTCACTTGTTTGCAAGTATTCAGACCATCCAGTGAGAGACCGAAGAGAAAAATAAACCAAACAGCTGCTTCACATTTGCCACTTCTTAACGGGTAACACAGCACATAGGCCAAGAAAGGCAAAGGCTGCAGCTGTTGGCCACTGACTTCCTAGGCAAGGGGGAGCATGTAAGACTCTCAGCCTGGGTGTGAAGGTCAGCTGGATGACCTCTTACCCAACACAGCCACCTCACCAGCTTTACCTCCTGCACCCCCTCTCCCCACCCTTCAGTGTCTCAGTGCAGAGCTTGTCACCACCAGGCTCCACAACTCACTCCAGGACCTTCTTGTCACACCAGCATTCACAATGAGGCAGCACCATGCTCTTCCTGGGGTTACTCTCACTAGTCAAAGTGTGCTGTGGGTTCAGTCCTTAATTGCTGGCAAACTCAATCCCCAAGTCTTGCAACAAGCAGTCTTCCAACTGCTTTGTAGCAATTAGGAGAGCCATCTCCTGTCATTAAGGGCTGTTGGCACCACAGGGTCCTGCAAAGGATTTTAACATCCATCCCCAAGGTCACACAGGTTTGCTCAGACAGCTTTGCATGTGCTCTGCCAGGCACACATCATCCAGGATCTAGAAGGCAAAAGCAACACAGACAGATGGGGGAACTCCATGAACATTGCTCCCTGTTGGGATTTCTTGGCATGCACCTACCCTTCCAAGCAAAAAGGCTTCAGGGTAATTGCTCTGCAACCAGCTGATTTTATCACAATTCATCAGAGCTCTGCCCTGGTTCATCCAGCAGCACCTCAGAAACCTGCCTCACAGCTTCCTGCCAGCAGCAGCAGCCCAGAAACACAGGTAAACACCCAGGGCTTCCTAGAGGCCACCTGAGCTGAAGCAGAAACCATTTGTACGAGCAGGTCTCAAACCAGCAAGGTGCTCCCCAGCCTGGCTCACATCCACACATGCTCCGTTCCACCAGGCTGCTCCAGCACAGCCTCAGCCCCAGACAGTCAGTGCTGTGCTGAGGGACCAGCCTGCTCACCCCTTTGCAGTGTACCCTGCAGATCACACTGGATCCTACAGATGTGGCAATCTGGAGGGCAAACACATACCCACCTGCACACGAGGGCTCAGTATTCATCTACTGCCTAAGTGAAACACGAGAATGATTTATCCGAAGGTGTTCCAAAGCAGGAAGGTCACAGCACATAAAATGCTTATTCGCCACATTTTAAGCAGGAGGACTTTCCAATCCCTTACCTTCTGAGTGATCTCCATCCATCCCTGGAGCACTACTACACTCCTGGCTCGAGTCTGGCCCCTCCTCTCTCAGTATCCCGTTGCTGTATGGCACTGTGCTGTCTTCAGGCAGCCCCAGAGCAGAGCTGTTCTCCCCCGGCACCAAGCTCTGCTCAGCAGATGTGCTCAGTGAGTCCAAGAGCTGCCCCGACGCGGCAAACAGCGTCGTGCTTTGCAGTGAATCTTCTGCACTTGTCCCACCTTCAGACGCGTACGTGCCGCACCCAGAGTCCTCCAGAGCCGACGACGAGTGTCCCAGTGACCCCGTGTGGTTCTCCCCGCGAGTCCGATCCACTCCCCGGGACTCCCTGTACACACTGCTCCTCACTGGACAGTCCTTTGTGTTTCCCTGGGCAGGGCTGGGGGAACAGCCCTGTGTGGAGCAGCTGGAATCTGTCCCACTCCGATCCCACTCTGCTGCCCCTGGGGACGTTGGCACAGCAGCACTGCCCTGTGTGGCCACGCTCTCACCTGCTGGAGCTCCCTCCACGCACACCTGACCAGGGGCAGCAGCGCTCACCATCCCCACAGGTGCCTCAGGCTGACTGGCAGTGGCCTGGCAGATGCAAGGGGACTCATCTGCAGAACCCAACAGCACTTCCTCAGTTGCTGCCACAATGACCTTGGAAATGATCTGTGTTGCTACTTGCTCAATTTTCTCAACTTCTTCCTTGTCCAAACTCACTTCTCCAATCTTCTCCTTTTCCAACTCATCTCCCTTTGGCTGGCTGTGCTCCTGACACACAGGTACAGCAGTGGCAATTGACCCAGACATCTCTTCTTCCCTGGACTGCTTCGAACAGGCAGACTCCAAACTACCTGGCAACATGCTCACTGCAGAATCCTTTTGACTTGATACAACTTCAACTTCTTTATTGAGAAAGGCTTGTGGGACATTGGCTTCTTTCTCCAAACCCAAGCAACGGGCTGTCACAGAGCCAGTATCCGACCGTGTGATTCCTGGCATCTGGTTTTCCTTAGGGGGCTTAAACGAAGACTCATCTGACTGCTCTGCGTGGCTGATCTCCTCCCTGGCTCCCAAAGACCCTTGGGCCAGGGATGCCGATGGCTGCTGACCACGGTTTGCACTGGAGCCTGAGCCCTGCCCGTGGCTCTCTGAGCCCAGAGGGAGGGAGGCAGGAGCAGGGACAGCGCTTTTCTTCCGAGATCCTACCACGTCTAGTTTTTCCCCGTTGTCCTCGCGGGCGCTGGGTGGCACCGCCGTGCCCGACAGGTCTGGAAGGTGCTGTGAGAGATTCGGCCTCTCGTGAGTGGGACACAGAGGAGAGGGCGTCGTCGGCCCCGCGGACAGCAGGGAGGTCGAGGTCGGGGTCTCCAGGCATTCCTCTCCCGACGAGAGGGGCGGTCTCCGAGGAACACGCGCTTCTGTCCTGGGTGGTGAATCGTTCTCTGACACTTCTTCCTGCTTCTCCTTCTCGACACCTACTGCCTGTTTGTCACGATAGCCCGAGTGCTTTTTCCTCCGCAGATAGATCCACCAGCAGCCCAGAAGCGCCAGCACTCCGGGAATGGCGTACGGCACGAAGTTGCGGAAGCGTAACGCCATCTTACAGAGCCTCAGCAGTCAGACCTGGGAGCAGAGACAGAAACCACGTTAAACTGGTCACAGGGAAGGCAACAGGAAGGCTCAAGTCTTGTAAGGGCTTTGAGCTCTCGAAATTCACCTCTCTGCTGCACCAGCAGGCCACGGAACAGCTCCTTACCCCACACAAGGGATGTCTGGACATTTCTCACCATGTACTGCAGGATTACACCCTACCTCACCTCTGCACTTCACCTCCCCTCGTTCTTCCTGCCCCAGCTCTGCCAGTCCTGCCCCCAGGACAGCCTCCAGCACAGCAGGTTCCTCCAGCACCGTGCTGGGCTCTCAGCCCAGCTCTGCCACAGCATCCCACCACACCACACCGTGCAGGAATCCCCAGCCCTGCCCTGGTAAGGCAGCAGCACTTCCTGTGGCTTCCAGAGCCTGACAACACACTGCAAAGCCCTAGGAACCCGACCCCAAAGTTTGTTCTACACCCAAACTCACTACACTGACAGCTGCCTTTCCCCTGACTCGCTCAAGCCGACAGCTTTTCCTCTAGAAAAGCTGTGACCCCTTTCCCACCTGGACACCAGAGACCCAGTCCTGCTCCCCCACTCCTCACCGGGGTCACACCAGGCAGTGCTGTCATGCCTCTCCTTTTCCTGAAGGAAAGCCTCAGCTGGAACGCAGAGCTGAACAATCACCACATCCCCAACAGCCTTTTGCTGCAAAGCACTTAAGAGTTTATATTTTCACTGCACAGGAATTAAAGCAAAACACCACGTGTCTGAGGACCTTACACAGACACACTTTAATCCAAACAGCCCTCAAGACTCTTGCCAACGAGCAACAGGAATAAAGATTGTTTCCAGTAGATAGCGAAGTCCTACAAATGGGAATCACCCACTGGAAAAGAGTATTATCTAGTCTCTCTTTTGAAGCATAATTTTTCTTAGACAAGAGAGGACAATCAAGGCAGTTGGCCCAATGCTTAGTCTGTCTCAAGCAAAGAAACCCCTTTTGTTATCAGAGCAAGTGTCCCAATCACAGCTCCCAGAGCAACTCTGGGACGTGATTTGCACCAGGAGCTGATTACATTCCAGCTGAGGGACAAAAACATGACTCCCTTGGCTCAAACCAGTGTCAGAGCCCCAGATAATGTAATGTTCACTTCAGGCTTCTCACCTCCCCCAGCCACACTCTCTCCCACAAGAGCACTCACACAGCTCCATCCACGCCAGCTCGGCCCCAGCCTCACTTCCACACCACCTACCACAGGGTCCCTACCACAGGGCAGGGGCTAGAAATTCCCTGTTCAATCCCAGACTAAAGGCCAGCTGCACACATGACTTAACCAGCTCAGCAATATCCCCAGCACATCACAAATGAGGCACTTATGTTGTTTTAGACAGGAAACTTAAGTGTGTTCATCCAACACTGATATTGGATGAAATAAACTAAACAACCAAGAAGCATCCAAATCCCAGTCCCTTCCAGCTGTATCAACAGGGCTCACTGCTGAGGATCCCAGGTGCTGGGATTTGGAATTAAAAAACCAACAAGCCTGTGCAATAAGGTGGATGTTTGGGCTGCGGGAGTTGGTAAGGGAAAGGCTGAGGCCTGTACATTCCCCAGACAAAAGGTTCCCATTGGTGCTCCCCAGCACAATGGCACATTGTGAGTGCTCATCTGCTGCACACTGAAGTGGCTGTAATTAATGCAGAACTCCCCTACAAGCTGTCTCATGGGTGCACCACAAACCCAAATTAAAGTAGCTCACAAGTCCATTCCCGATGAAACAGACAGCCCTATTATTATCTGATTCCCTACCAAGTTGCACCAAGTGTCCAAACAATGGTCCCACACAGTTCTGAGGCACCAGGAGACAGTCGCTGGATGCCCCACGGGGGGACAGGCCTGGCAGACAAAACAATTCTAAGAGTCACTTTAAACACCATCATTTAGGATAAGGATCTTCACTCCTCTGTGATATCTGGCTGAGTGGGGACTGCTGGATTAGCTCCTTTAATTTCATGGTTCTAATTTACTGTTCTAGCCAGAGCTGCATCACTACCAGTGAGTGTTAGATGGGGATTCCACATCCTCCCATCAGCTGGAGAGGGATGAGAGGCAGTGGCTCTGCAGGAGATGCCAGCAGACACCCTGGAGTGCTGGGCTGGCTGGGGAACAGCTAACACCAACAAACACCTCCTCCCAGAGGCAGGAGGACCTCGCAGTGCCTGGGGACAGCTGGTTGAACCTGCCCAGCCACGGCTGGGAGACCCTTCCCTTCCTCCCCAGGAGGCTCCGAACTCCCACGGCTGCTTCCCAACACAGGAGTGACCAAACCATCTGACAGCCAGCCCAGGACTGCAGGACACACGGGGGAAGAAAGCCTGGGATTCTCCTGCCAGCAGCAGAACAGAAAATGGCAGCTTGTCAAATCACATGCCCTCCAGCACTGCCAAAGGGAGGGAGCCTGGCCCAGCAGGCAGGAGGAGCCAGCACAGCAGCTCCAGAGGCTTTGGACGGGGATGAGCAGCCCGCGGGAGCCAGGACCAGCAGGAAGCGCCGGATCCCCAGCACCGTTCCCAGCAGGCAGAGCCCCATGCAGTCCCACACCAAAAATAGTGTGGAGCTCACACACTGTATGCGCTCACCCACCACCAGCCACTTCCACTTCCCTCTGGCATGCCAGGAATCCTCTCTAAATGTCACACCTCGTGTCATGGCATGGCTGGAGAGCTGCAGCTAGGACATGAGACTTCAACTCGCTAAAGAATCCCCACAGCAGGTCAGGATGGGATTAAGACACCATGGGGAGAGTTGGGGTCAGTCAGCTCTTCAAACCTGTGTCCTGACTTGATTTATACAAAACTCCTGGTAACAAGCAGGGAAAGGACAAGAATGAACACATACATTGCCTACCTTAGGAAAAAAGCCAAGGACAGTCAACTTACTCTACTTGTTCGCGTTAGGGTCCCAGAGCAGTGCTAAACCACCTTGTTTCCTGGCCGGGACACAGAGCCCTTCAGCACACGCAGCCTTATAAGGTTAGAAATGTTCACAGCGCGAGGTTCCCGGGGACGCCAGATAATTCATTCTCAGGGTCCGAGAGGAGCTCAGCAAACACTCACTCCAGATCCTCAGGGCTTCCTACGCACAAGGAGGTCTGTTCTGGAGCCGAGCTGCTCCGAGTCTCTACCAGGAGCGAGGCAAGGATGATGCCCAAGTGCCTGAGCCCCCATGCTCTGCAGGGACGTACCCTCAGCGCTGCCGGTCCCGGCTCCTCCGCTTCCCTTTGCCTCAGCACTTGAGAGGTTACACTTCCAAACCCTGAAAACGGTGGAGACCAAGGCTGGAATCAAAGCCCGTCTTGAAGGATCACAGAGCAAAGGAGCAGGCAGCTAAATTGGAGATGCAGCTTCCAGAGCAAGGCCAGGATCCCTCCCGACAAACCCTATAGTTAGCGATGCAGCACTCAGGAAATAAATACTATCTGGGTGAAAGAGAACTGGACAGGCTGGCACGGTTCAAACCAAACGGGACCACGTGGGCTCCTAAAATTTTCCATGCTAAAAATAACTGGAAGCACATGCTCTGCCTTATAGGAGGCATAAGAACAGGAGTTGACAAAAACCTAAAGGACCGGAGGCCCCAGCAGTAAGCTTAAAATAAGAAAACTCCCTGCACAGAAACACACGTAAAGGCTTGCATAACCCACCCTGGGCATGAGGCATATTTTCATCGAAAGCTGAATTGGCATGTGGCACTGCATTATCTAACTGCAGCGTCTGTGTGTTTGGTACGAGATGAAGGAGGCAGAACATCCACAACACAGGGACCTTCTGCCAGGTCCTGCTAGAGTGTGGTCCCGACTGCAGAGCACAGAGCTTCTCTCTGCAGATTGGCATTGGAATGTGCTGCCCAGGGAGCTGGTGGATTCATCCTCCCTGGAGGTTTGCAAGGAGAGACTGGATGGGGCACTTAGTGCCATGGGCTAGTGACCACGGTAGGGTCGGACTCTCTGTAATCTTTTCCGACCTGGCTGATTCTGTGATTGTCCCACACACAGGTTAGCATCCCCAGGGCTGACCCTACAGGACAGAGCTGAGAATCCAGAGCAGCCTGACAGCCCTTGCATCACACTCTCCGGATCGTCGGAGTGTCACTGGAGCACCAGACTCTACAGCCTCTCCACCCCTGTCCCGGGCCAGCCTGGCATCCCACCACCCAACCAAACATCACCCAGAGCCAGGAGCTCAGACAGCCTGACTCAGGAGCCACAGACACCCAGAGACAGGCAGGAGCCAGGCCAGCAGGATCTCAAGCTGGGCGGCACTTATTTTAGGAAGAAGCCAACAGGGAAGTCTCTCTGTACTTAACTAATTAAAGGTAAGTGTTCTGCAGCAATTTCTGCTTCAAACACAGCACTGAAAGACAAGAGCAGCAAGAGATACCCCTTAAGCAACACCACCTTCTCAGAGCCCAGTGAACATGGGCTGTGAGCTCAAGAAACAGGCTCCTCTGCGAATGAAGCCACTCCCCAACCCTGACATGTTTAAGAACCAGAAGCCTCCTATTTGCAAAAGGATAAATTGGGACTTTAGTACAAGGCTGAAAGAGCTGGTTGATCTAGAGCTAAACTAGTGCTCTGGGACAAGAAACAGCACCAACACCAGGCTGTCTCTTATCTCCAAGATAAAAACTCCTTTCAGTCTAATCACCTTCAGCGATGTTCCCACAACAGCTCACTCCTCCCCTGGCAGCTGGAGCTGCCACACTGTTCTGTGTGTTTTCTCCCACTCAGGAGCCAAACTCTGCCCCAGCACAGCTCCACAGCTCCAGCAGCAGCGTTTAGGCCAATGCAGGACTCGGAACAGCTCCAGCTTACTCAGAAGAAGAGGTTTACAACAAAAGCATCAGCTCAGCCAACCCGCAGGGTTTGTTTAATAGATGTTTTGGAAATCTCCACGAAGCTCATAGAGACACAAGCACTGATCCCCAGCAACCCTCACCCC